CAGTAACAACAGCAGCAGCAGCAACAACAACAGCAACAGAAGCAGCAGCAGCAGCAGCAGCAGCAACGAGGGTTAAGGGGAGAGACTTGAGTGTGTATGTCTCTCTAATTCATTTTTTTTGTTTTGTTTGTCTTCTGATATTGAAGATGAATATAAGTATATTTCTCTTTCCTTATCGGTGCTGCAGCATGCAGCGTAGACCATGTAATCTTTTTATATATTTTATATTATATTATTTATTTGTTTATTCTCTGCTTTCTTATGCATCAAGTGAAGAAAATAATGAAGACAAACACAAAACCCCTTCTCCTTCTCAACGTATAGATTTAGCTGTTATGCAGCTCGGAGTCTCAGACTTACTCGTAAGCAAACGAAAACTAATTATTTTATTTATTTTATTTATTTAATTTATTTTATTTTTTTGAGTTGTTTATATAATATTCATGTAGTGCTGTATTGTTATATATGTAGGGGTGTTTTACTTTTATTCTATTTGTGTTTTTTAATTATTTAAATTATATTTATATGATGTTGTTGTTGTGGCTGCTGTTTTCTTTGTTTTATTTTTGTTTATTATCTTGTTTTTATTTATGCTGTTCTTCTTCTTGCACCTTCTCTTTATTTTTTTATTTTTCTTGAGTCTGCTTGATGTTGCTGTTGTTGTCTTCTATCGATCCGTTTTGTATATTTTTGTTGTTATTTATTATATTTGTGTTTACTCTATTTCTTTTTTTATATATTTTTTAATTTCTTTTTGTTTGCTGCAGAGTTCATTAGGAAGTGCTGTTGTACAAATAGCACATGAAGCAGGGAGAAAAGAAACAATAATTGAAACAAACGATTTAACACATTTAGTTAAATGTATTGCAGTGGCGAAGGAAATACTTATTACAAAAAAAGGACATGATGCAACAAGACTTGTACATATCTGTTGCTGCTCCTGCTGCTGTTGCTGCTGCTCCTGTTGCTGCTGCTCTTGCTGCTGCTGCTGCTTTTTTGCTGCTCTTGCTGCTGCTCGTGCTGCTACTGCGCGCGCTGTTGATGCAAATAGAGTCATTGGTGTTGCTGCTGTTGATTCTGCTTCTGCTGCTGTTTGTAGTGCTGCTGCTAGCATCGTTAATGTTCTGTGCTATTACTGCTATTGCTTCTGCAGCTGCTGCTGTTGCTGGAGTCACTGGCTTTTGCGGTTGTTGCTGCTGCTGCTGCTGAGTTGTGACCAGTTGTTGCTGTTTCTGCGGCTGCTGTCGTTCTTGCCTTTTAGAGCTATGTTCTTGCTGCTACACTATGATGGGATTTTGCTGCTGCTGCTGCTGCTGCTGCTGCTTCTGTACCTGCTGCTGCTCCTGTGCGTGTTAAACTCGATTGTCTCTGTAATATCCATACTCAGAATTTTGCCTTTCGGCGTTCTGCACTTCGTCTAACTTTATGCATGTTTTTCTGTTGATAATCCTTTTTATTTGCAGATGCATTCATTCGTTTCCCTATTTCGTTTCAGTGTTGTTTTTCGTAGATGCGTGCTTCCTTATTTTTTGCTTTTTCTTTTCAGTTTGCAGGGGCTGTGCTGCGGCATATGCATCGGATGTCGGGAGGGTGGAAAGCAGAGGAAATTGACGATCGATTGATAATTCGAAAGAATCCCAAAGGAAATAAAAGAGTAGAAAGAATAATTGTTTCCGTTGAAGGCCTCAATAAAGGTATTTTACTCATGAATTGCGCACTGCTTCCCCTCTGAAATTCACCCGTTTTCAGGTGTACAGGCACCTCAATGAAAGTTGAATTCAACTTTTTCTTGAAGTTCATGCTTCCTCTCTTTCAAGATTAATATATACCAAAATTATATATATACGTATATATAGTTTTTTATTATCATTCTCTTCATGCTGATCTTAATTTTTTGTTTGTTTTCCTTTTTTCTATTCTCCATCTTCAGAGGCTGTTGAAAAGTTTCCAATAGTGTTTGCGAGCGGTCCTGAGTTTTTTCAAGTTATTTTTATTATAATGGCGGTGATGAGAGGAGCGAACTTTGAACAAGACGAGAAAAAGCTTTTAGATCTACTACCTCTTATGTTGGCTTGGAGTGCAGTAGCAAGACAAGAAATAGCCTTTTATGCATTTGTTACCTTCCCCTTCAAATATATTCTCCCAGCTCTTGCGAGTTTATCCCCGTCGAAAGAACAAACAGACCACCTTGACGCACTCACCAAGGTAAGGTCTTATCCAAAGCCAAACCTACGACTTAGGGTTTAGGGTTTAGGGTTTAGGGTTTAAGGCATAGGTGATATGCGAGAGTCATACATTTCTGTTCGTTCTTCAATGCGCACATTCACGTTCTTCTTCTAACACCCTTCCCTGTTTTGGAGCAGCATTTAGCATATTTACTTAAACAAATGATGTTGTATGTGAATTGGTTGTTTATTTATTTATATTTCTGCTTGTTTGCTGCAGCTGCAAACAAAAGTGCATAAAGAATATCCAAATGTAGACAAGGAAGAAATTGAATTGCAGCTCGACCTTTCAAATTCAGTTGAAAAATCTGTCTTTGAAATCTTAAAGAAAAAAGGTATTCTAAATAATCAACATACAAATGCATGCAATATGCATGCATGCAATATGCATGCATGCAGTATGCATGCAATATGCATGCAATTGCAATAAATAAAGTGTAGATGGTTGTGTTCTTCTTTTTAAACCCTTTTTTGTTTAATTACATAATTTCAACAGCACAGCACCTACTACATGTGAATATATATATACATATATATGTAAAGGTTTTTATTATTAACTTTCTCTGTATCTGAATTAGTTGTCTGTATCTGCATGCACACAATTAATTACAAAATAAACTTTCAACTGCATGCATCTTATGCAGTCTATACTTTTCTGTCTTATTTAATGTAATTTACTGCTTAGTGGACATTATTTAAACCCTTAACCCTAAAACCCTGAAACCCTAAAACCAATAAAAAATAAGCATTAAACCCTAAACCCTAACCGTAAACCCTAAACGTTAAACCCTAAACCCTAAACTTTAAACCCTAAACCCCACACCCTATTCCATAGTAACCCTAAACCTAACCACCATGTGCTAAACGCCAAGCTCTGAACTGTAAACCCTAAACCCTAAACCCTAAGCCCTAATATGTGTTTGTTGTTTGTTTAAAAGGTATTTCTCTCGTGAACTATCACCGGCATGGGTCTTTCTTTTCTTCGATGTTGGAGAGCAAACAAACGCTATTGCGAGTGTTTGAGAAAGGAGAGAGAGGTGCTGAAGAGATTGCACAGTCTTTCATATACCGTTCAGTTAGTATTATATTTAATAATCATCATCATAAGAATAAGGATGAAAAAGACGAAAAAGAAGAGTTACATCGCTTCATGTCTCTTCAATTCTGGGAAGATGAAGAAATTGCTACAAAAGTAATGGAGGAGCTTCTTGCAAGAACAAATTATTATGTTTCTGCTTCACTCGCTCGTCTCTCTGTAAGAATATAACTTTATTCTTTTCTTCTTCTTTAAACTCTAAGCACCCTCGAAGCCTCCTGCTTAACTCATTTGCTCCGATGCACTACACTTAAGGGTTTAGGGTTTAGGGTTAAAGAAAGTATTTCAAAATGATTGTTTTCTGCGACCTGATGTCGATGTGGTGCTGTCTTGCAGAAGTCGCTGGGCAAAGATATTACACCTGCGGTATTTCTAATGGAGGGTTTAGGGTTTAGGGTTTAGGGTTTAGGGTTTGGTGTGGGTGGGGCCGTTGCTTTTGTTCTCCCTTTGTTGTGTTTGTCTATTTATCTTTATTAAACAAATACAGAAAATACAAACAGACGCTCCCAGCTGTTGACCATTCAGGGGATATTTAGGGTTTAGGGTTTAGGGTTTAGGGTTTAGGGTTTAGGGTTTAGGGTTTAGGGTTTGCTATGTCGCAGCAGCAGCAGCAGCGTAATTCTTTTCACGAATTACACTCGATTAATTCAAAACAATTATATATTTGCTTTTATTGCCGAAAATTAATATATTTTGTCTGTTTAAATGCGGTGTATGTGCAGGTGTTTCTGGAAGAAGTCACAGAGCAGTTTCAAACAGCAGAAAAAGTATTAAAAGCCCTCTTGACCTTCTTCTTAATAACATCAATCAATATACACTATAATAATAACATATTATATATGTATACATATATATATACATATATGTAGATATATATATCTACATATGTATATACATGTTATATATATAATGTATATAATATATCTATATTCATATATGCATATATGCATTTATATATATATATATATTATATAACACCGAAAAGAATAACGTTGGAGTAAATATTTCTTTTTTTGTTTCATGTTTACATCGGCTGCTTCTTTTCAACATGTTTTATGTTGAAGTGTAGTAAATACAGCATATTAGTTATTTAAAAAATAATTATTTTTAAAGAATTAAATTGATTATACACCCTCCGTACAAATCTTTTTTTTTGTTGAAATTCTGCAGGAAGCGAAGGCACTCTCAGATGAACATAAAGAGCGCATCGAGACATCTGTATGTTTTGAAAGAATTTATTTTGCTGCAGCATAAAACCTAGGGTTTAGGGTTTAGGGTTTAGGGTTTACTGTTTACGGTTTAGGGTCTATGGGTTATGGGTTGGGGTTTAGTGTTTACTGTTTACGGTTTAGGGTTTATGGTTTAGGGTTTACTGTTTAGCGTTTAGGGTTTACTGTTTAGGGTTTAGGGTTTAGGGTTTACTGTTTAAGATTTGTGGTTTAGGGTTTACAGTTTACGGTTTAGGGTTTAGGGTGTAGAATTTATGGTTTAGGCTTTAGGGTTTAGGGTTTAGGGTTTAGGGTTTAGGGTTTAGGGTTTGAGGCTATTGTTTGTTTTTATTGCAGTACAAGCGTTTTGTAGACTTTGCGAGTTCAAAGTCGCCTGAGTCTGTTGGCGTTGAAATTATAGAGCATAAGACGAGCTGGTCTAAAGATTTTGTTTTTCTTTTTGAGGAAATATCTTCGTTTTGTAGTTCAAAGCCAACGTATTGCAAAGTTATGCTTCGAGAAATGCATAAGATTCGTAAATAAACATTTTAATAATACCCTTAAGCCCTAATTTCATCTAATTAAATATTAACAGGTATACATTCAGGTGTACAGGCAGCTAAGTATTCTTTAGTTTCATAAATTTAAGCAGAATTATCTATCTTTTTATTTATTTATTTTCTTTCTTTTTCTGCATTTGTTTATTCAAGAACCGAAGGTGAAGGCGGCGTTAGCTGTAGAAGAATGCAAATTAATGCTGAGAGTTATTCTGGTGTGTTGAAGAAATAATAAATAATAAATAATAAATAATAAATAATAAATAATAAATAATAAATAATAAATAATA